TTTCCTAGGAGAGGATGCAGGGGCTGGAGATCCAGGAGCTTTGCTATGTTTGGATGAGTGTCCCTCAAAGGCCCAGTGTTAAACTTGGTCCCCAGGGTGGCACTGTCAGGAGGTGCTGTGAACCTCTAGGAGGCGGGGTCTAGCGGGAGGTCCTTAGGCACTGGGGGTCATGTTCCTGAGGAGGACTAAGGGATCCTGGCCAGTCCTCTCTTCCTTTTTGCTTCCTGGCTCCCGAGGAAAGTCTGTTTTGCCATGTGCTCTAGCCATAATGTGCTGCTCTCGCCAGAGGCCCAAAGCGTAGGGCCATGGATCATGGACTGGAACCTCCAGAACCAGGAGCCCAAATAAACCTTTTCTCTTTATTTATTCATTATCTCGAGTATTTTGTTCTAGTGTCAAAAATTGCTAATACAGGCTTACTCAGGGCCATACGGTGATTTATGAGAGGGCAGGCACAAGACAACCCAAGTCCTTTGCCTCCCAGCTTGAAGTTCCTCTCACCCACACAGGCTCCCAGCTTGTCTGTTTTGCCTGAACCAAACAGATGGACAGAGCCTGAGGCCTCTCCTTCAATCCCTGAAGACTCAGAAAATCCCTCACATCTAGCCCCCAATCCTTCCTCCCTTTGCTGACCCAGTCATCCAACAAACTACCCACTGAAGACCAGTAAACCACACCATCTGCTTTACCACTTGTTCCTCCTGCATTTCCAGACAGGCTGGCCCCACAGCTCCAGCCTCCTTCTCTCCCCAGGCCCCCCTCTTAGGCCATGAACCCCAGCCCAGGCTGTTTCCATCTCCCTGTCTCTGTGGCCAAGAAAACAGGAAGCATCTGAGTCACCCGTTGTCTCCCTGGGCTTTGGCTGTGTGGAGTCAGGGAAGGACAAGGAGGGAAGAGGATGGCTCCATAGTGGCTGAGACTCTTGTGAAGCTCTGTCTTCCAGCTTGTGCGACCCCCAACAGCCAGCAGTCCAGGAGTCTCCCTGTAATTTTTCTTGATATAAGAGAAAGAGAATGCCTTAAGATTTGGAATTCTGAAGTGGGGCGTGGTGCTACACACCTGTAATCCCAGTGACTGGGGAGGCTGAGGTGGGAGGATCACAAGTTCAAGGCCAGCCTCAGTAACTTAGCAAGGTCCTCAGCAACCTAGCAAGACTCTGCTTCAAAATAAAAATATAAAGGGGTAGGGATGTGGCTGAGTGGCAGAGTTGATAGAGTGCCCCTGGGTTCAATTCTGAGTACTGGAAAAAAAAAAAAGATTTGGATTTGGACTTGGCTCTGCTTCCCACTGGCTGTGGGTCTGGGCTTGTCTGGTAGTTCTCAACCTTGATAGAGTCACCAGGGAGTTTTTTTTTTTTTTTAATATTTATTTTTTAGGTGTAGATGGACACAACACAATGCCTTTATTTTTATGGGTGCTGATGATTGAACCCAGGTCCCGCCCGTGCTAGGCAGGTGCTCTACCACTGAGCCACAATCCCAGCCCCAGAGTTTTGATACCACTGGCACCTAGGCGCTACCCCCAGCAGTCAGGTGTCATTTTTAAAAAGTTTCTCAGGGGATTCCAAAGTGCAGCCAGGCTTGAGAACCCCTGGGCCCATCTCCTTAAGCCTCAGTCTCTCACCTGTCAAGTGGGGCCCATGTGGCCTGCTCTGTGGGTGCTGAAAACAATGGAGATCTGAGGTGCAGGTTCAGGTATGTGTGGTTCTGTCCACTACTGGGAGAGCTTGGGCAGAAGTGGGGTATCCCCAGGGGCACCTTGGCCTTCAGAAACCCATTGAGGTCACAGTGGTAGGATATTGATGAGCAGGCTGAGAAGCCTGAGCAAGCCCACCTCCTTTTCTGAGAGCATCTTCCAAAGTACCCTGCATGGAACAGAGGAAATTGGAGGTGAGAACAGCAGGCGTCACTCCAGGATCAGCCCCCAAACAACTCTTGGTCCAGTGAAGAGAAAGGTCAAAGTTCAAAATGGAAAAAAAGCTCTAAGAGAGGAAGTTAGAAGAGGAGACAGGGCTCTGGCTGAAGGGAGTCTGGAAGTTTCTGGAGAATGGCACAGTAAGTAGCCATCCGGGGGCTTGGGAGTCCCAGGCTGAGGAAGCTGCCAGAACTGCAGGCATAGAGGAAAGAGCAGAGAGGACTCCTCAGGGTCTCTGGGCTGTGAGTTGTGAGTGGGGGACGAAGCACCCTCTTCCAGCCCTTGCCCTTGAGTAGATGCAAGATTCCATTCACGAAAACCAGCAAGCATGTTTGTCTTACAGTGTGGACTTACATTTTTGTTCCTGGAGTTGTCCTAGGCCTGGTTTTGATTTCTATTGTTTCAGGTGGCCCTTGGTTATATTGTCTCCACACCTTGTGTGCCTGGTTATTTTTGACTGTAGGGCTGATATTTGTCCGATACCTTGTCTTTACGAATTATTTGAGGCCCAAAATGATGTCGTTGTCCTTGGCAAGGACTTTACTTAGCTTCTGCGGTATGTGGGGGCACTGGCAATCCAA